GCGTCAATGGGACGGTACTAATGGATATTTTGTATCGCTATGGAAAATTTAGTCAATTGCTGAATTTATGTATGTGCCCAACTTAGGGGCATTTAGGCTGACATTACATCAATTTCCCCCATACATGGTCATCAAAAGAATTATAGGCAAACAATAAGTTGATTAGGGTTGTCCTTATTATTAGTTTCATATTTGAAGTTATAAATGGTTTCGTTCTTCAGCAAAGCTGTTGAAAAGAATATGTTAAGCTACTTTTCTGAAGACAGGTCGTCAGGTCCCTTGTGCCGTGATTAATTATTGAGTCGCTTTCAAATATACAGGGTGTCCATCCAACCGGAAAAACCGGGAAATCCGGGAAAAAACCCGAAATCCTGATTTGCCGGGAAAAATACGGGAAAACCCAAATCGCACCGGGAAAGATCATAAATACTCATTCCAAGTAACAATTTTGGGTTTATCATAGTTATGTCTTGAAGAATCATTAAAACCTTTATAAAACTTGCAATGTTACTTGAAATCAATCAATTTTATATCACATATACCATTATGTTCTCCTATATATTAAATTCCCTTGGTTACACATCTGTTTACAACTTTCATATTATGTATTTTACTGTGGTAAAGTATCCAAAAATCATCAGAAATTATTGCACATATTGCTCTTACTCACAATCTGTTTACGTACGGTGCAAATGGTGATTTTGCTGTTATTTCTACCACGATAGCTTACCTAGTATTTTTTTAGATTTTTTTTTGTGTGTCCAGGCATTTTGGAAAACCCAATAAACCAAATCAATGATATTAAAAGGCCTCACGAAGGTTTAACAATTCTATCATTAGGTCGAATCTTCGTATACCTTGTTGAGTCTGCAGAACTTCAAGATCAGATATTCGGGATGGTTTGGGTAATCCAACAATGCAATTTTTAAACACAATTAATAATTTTAAATGATGTATAAAATGCTCAAAAATTCGGAGTGGACAAGGAACAAGATTTCGATTAAACTGTAACATATCGCAAGGACAATTTCGAGAATGATAAATAACTTGGTAACATATCTTTGCATTCCACAAAATGTTATTTGACTTATAGAACTTCAGGATCTAAACTACAGGAAGATTTTAAGAACTTTTAACACTGGGTTTCTCATTCTCAGGTCTTTTGTATTGATATATGCTTTTTCCAACACACCAAAAACAAAATTTAGGCTCATTTTTTGCAGTGAAACTTTTTGATTTTACACAAATTCATGATTCCATGAGATTTTTGAGATCTAGATCATCAACATGTTAATGCAAATCTCATCTCATATTTTTTTCTATAAAGTAAATGTATTGTGAAGCAATTTTGCTCAAAAATTTATATGATTATCTCTAAATGGTTATTTTTGAACGCCTTTTTTGTTTAAGGCGGAGGTGATGTTGGGGTTTGATTTATTATTAAATAACCGGGAAAAAACCGGGATTGAAAAATTTGATTTGAATGGACACCCTGAATATATTTCCAGGTAGCTACATAGACCAAATCAATCCCATCTGTAAACATAATTTCAAGACTATTATTAAGATGGAGATAATTACTTTATGTTAGTAGATAAAATCAATCCAAACGGGTATAATCTGATCCAAAAAGTACTCACTTACTGATTTTAGATCTTATAGTTCAATCGGTGAGAACATTTTTCATATTCTTTCAGTTTCTCGCCTGTTTCGTTCTACTGCTGCTCTCAGATTCGAGTTTATTAGCAGCTAAAGGGTGAAACGAGTAATCAACTCAAATATAGTGCATTTCTGTTTAGCATGCTCTTCAAAAAATAGCAATCATTGATTTTCGAAGGTGTATGTCTATGAAATCTCTTGCCATTTTTGGTTTTGGAATTTAACATTCAGTTTTTAAGATGGCTACCAAACAAGAGAATCAGCATTTTAAAATTCTACACTCGCATTTTTTTAAATTCTAATCATTCTTTGTGAAGGCTGACTTAAAACAGCTTCCTGATCATGAATGTTATACTGAAACCGGAACAGAACTAGTTCAGGACAACTTAGTCCAAAAAAATCAGATGAATGTTTCAAGAAAACTATTTGGTCGGGCAGGTGATTTGCACTGGTGAGCTGAAGAGCAATTATATTTGTGACAAGTGGCATCATCATTCAGCATATTTACGTGAGCGAGTGTTTGAACAAATGCCTATTGCTTTTTATTAGAAATCACTGATACCCTAAAGCTGTATTGTCCTGATCTCGTGTCTTGTCATTTTGGTAAAGTTTCAGTATGTATGAAACCAACAACATTGCCGTTGTAGCCAAATACTAGAACCTGACAAATTCATTACAGGGTGAAAGGTAATTCCTGTCACTGTTTTTTAAGCAATTGTAGTATCAAATGGGTTAATCACATACATGTCTCCATATTTTTCTTTTAGAGTGTGTTCAAATGTCAACACGGCATGCAAGTTTGTTTTGAATGTTCATTCGTTTGATACTCGTGATAATCATGGACGCGAAAAGGGAACTCGTGATAAGTCTGTTTTTTGAAGCATCGTAGACCGTGTTCTATTCTGAAGACGCTGAAACCACTCGGAATAAACGAAAGATTCAAATTTCGCACCATTTAACGGTAGAAGGAAACCGGTTCGTGGAAAATCCCTCCCAGACCAGGCTGAAACCGCAGTGTCAGGACTCCGGAAGTTATCAAACGAGTGAGAGAGCGAATTCGGTGGAATCTTTGTAAGTCTGGATGTAAGATGGCCAAAGAACTCGGAATCTCACAGGAATCAACGATCAGGAGTATTTTGAAAGATGCTCTCGGATTGAATGCTTACAAAAAACAGCGGATGCATGGTTTGACCGGAAAGCAAAAGATAGCTAGAGTCTAAAGATGTCGGAAACTGCTCAAACGGCACGGTGATTCCGAAATTCTGTTTTCGGATGAGAAAAAATGTTTCTGCTACAGGATCACCACAACCAGTAAAATGATCGGGTATATGCTGCATATCTTGCTGATATTCCTCGTGACAAAGAATGCACCATACTGCTTCCAACAAGACTCTGCACCGGCAAAAGTTACACAGGCTTGGTGTGGGGCCAATTTCCCGGATTTCATTTCGTCGAAAGAGTGGCCTGCCTCCTCACCCGATTTGAATCCTCTCGACTTCTTTGCATAGGGCTACATATTAGGTGAACTAGGGAATACCAAGGGACTAACCGTGGAAACTTTTAAGCAACGTTTAGTAAAAATATATGACCAAAATCATCGTGCTGTAACGATTTTCAAAAACGGATGTGACTCGTAATTAAAGGAAAGGGAGAAAGCTTTGAATTGAACTAAGTTAAGACAAATTTTATAGATACACGAAACAGGAAATACACTGAAAATTAAATTTCACATCATTTTCTGATTTTTGTGTATACTTTATTGACAGGAATTACCTTTCACCCTGTACACTTCGGCCATTTTTAAAATATTGAACAATCATCACGAGAAACCTTAAGAAAGTCCAGAGAAAGTTGATTATGTGAAAACAATCAAAACAAAATGGCGCACATTTCCAAATGACTTAATTTAACTATACTTTAAGGTTGTGCAAAACTTAATGGAAGGGGTCAACCGAAAAGTTCGTGAATTTGTATTTGGCAAAGCATAGAGTGAACTCAACAATATCAGGGCTTCATGTAAAGCCGTTGGTCCCCGGCCAATAAGTTTGAAAGGTCGATAGATAGGGTCCAGGTGTGGGAGCTGCCTCCTTGGCGTCAGTAGCATTGGTACTGAGTACGGAATACAAGATCGATGGAAAACAAACCAGGGAAAACAAATCGATGAGGCTCTTTTTAATGTCAGGGAGCTGGAAATTGCACTCCTGATCTTCTGCTAAGTAAGTAAAAACGGTTGCCACTAGGCTACCGAGCCCCTTTTTTTTTCGCAAAGACTACTCTTTTAAATCAGATTTATTACTTCAGATTTAAAGTGAAATAGCATGTTAGCATATTGCAAAAGATCATCAAATTGGTATAAAGAGGCAAATTCTCCACCTAATTAGTTATGAATACATTATAGAAATCGAAATCAGGTATCCGGATTTTTTTCAAAGCCCAGTTTGTAGTTTTAATTTTGAGAACGAAATAATAAATTGAAAATATTTCGAGAGCCCGAAAAGTCGAAACATGGACAATTTCTTTCAAGTCCACGACAGAAACAAAACACCCATCATCTGTTGCATAAAGATTATAAAACGAATGTAAATTCCATTTAGTAGATAGATTCGGAACCACGGACAGCAGTAGAGCGAAACAGGCGAGAAACTGAGAGAATTGGAGGAACGTTCTCTGTCGAGTGCAATAACGATACGTAAAAACTGAACGGCAATGATAGCCAGCGAGTGAGTTTTTGGCTAGCAGGGTTAATGTCCCTAATGTCAAATGTCACCCAAATTGGGCCCAAACCTACTTTTCGATGGAAGGCATTTTTTGACACTGTTTCACTAGCAATGTTCCACGAAAAAATGAAAAACAGGATATTTATATCGATGGGCCCAATCTCTAGATCCATAGGCCAACATTAGAGCCATTTTCCCTATCGATTGGATTTGTTTTTGAAGATTTACTTTTCTCTATGTATCAGTATGTAATAGAAAGAAAAGTAACTGATCGCAGAACGTTCAACGTTGAAATGCGATTTAAAGAAAATCTATCGAAATCATGGTGGTGAGACGCAGTTGGAAATCAGTTAAGGTTAGTTATGGACTGGTTATGGACATGTAGAATATTATTTTTCAAAAGCTGCAATTGTACTATGAAAATGTCGTTAATTCTGTTCTAATGCCACCTTCAGTCTATGGAGTGGTAGCTTGTGATAAGTAGTTTCTTGATCCGCTGAGCTCTTGCATAAATATTGCAGTATTCCAGAAAAAAGTAGCCACCAATATAGTCATTTTCTCTAATAGATTATGTTGGATCAATGTTATGAAATAATTTAGTTAATTTTGATAAAATTATAACAATACGATTAGTGTTTTTTTATTCAGTTGTTCTCAAGCAATATGTTTTTAAGAATTATTTAACACCCAACAAGCTACTCGCTTGGGTTGTAAAAAAAAACATTTACCAAAAATTATTACCATTCTTGATAGCCTCAATCATCCGGAAAGTAGAAATCATGAGAAAACCGATCGTACTTTTTACCACGACTCGGCACCGTAGTCGCTTGGGAGCTTACTTCTATCATGGTCGCCACGGTAGTTGTCACTACCTCACCGTCGTCGGTCCCCCAGACTATGGCTTCCAACCAGTCCAAATGGGCCGCCACGCGGGTGTAAACTTCGATATCGTACTCAAAGGATACTCCCATGGACTTGGGCAAGGGGTTGGAAACTCCCAAGGTCGTAAACACGCAACTGCGGCTGTTAAAGGTCTGCAGCGATGCACCGGTGATTCCGCCCAGTAGATAGTCTTCGCCATCGTACTCCTCCTCGTGCTGAGCTACCACGCAGATTTCAAGCGACGTAATATTCCGTCGAATGGCGTTTCTTTCGATCATCTGGAAACTGCATTCAGCCGTCGAAATTGCCCGCATGTTGACGTTTTCGTAGAACCGACGATAGTCTGTGGATTTAAACGATGTTTTAAGAGTACAAAATAGCTGTTCAATACGTCAAACGTACTTCCCGTGTATCCAGTGACTATCAGTGTGTCGTAGAGGTTTTCTGTAGCAGAATTTGCAAGGCAAGCTGGCAATAGCCTAGCACCAAGCACTAGAGGCCTTACCAACTGCATTAACAAGAGGTAGGTCATGCGGTTTCTTCGGTTGTAGTCCGGGTGAACGATAACTTGATGGATGTCCACATCCTCCTGACTGCCGATTCGGATTTTACTTGGCTTCCATTCCCTAAAACCATTCGATCGGTGACATCGGCTCATGGATTTGAAGATGTAGGATACTCACAATTCGATACAAGCAGCGGAAGATAGCACAAAGAGTTCACTAATGAGTGAACCGCTGCACAGTATGACCGATTTTTCGTGGATTATGGTGACCTGGAATGAGTTGCCTAAATTTAGTTCAAGACCGCGATCGACGTACGTTGAAATTTACCGTATGTGGATATCTAGCGTTGTAGCAAACTCCGTTGGACTTCTTCCGAGCCAGTGCAGCGTATTCTTCGCATTCTGGAATGACATTGATACGATTAGTTAGGTCGAAGTCAACCTATAGCGCTGTCTAGTAAACTTCTTTCGCTTATCCTCTTCGGTACGTTGTCGAAGTGCCCAACTCTGCCATCCGTCAGGTTGCGAATCCATGGATAGTAATGTGCCACGTTGGTGAACATGATGTATTTGCTCGTATCGCAGCTACCAGTTTCCGATTCTGATCCGAAGGAAACTATTCCTCGCAGTTCCCAGCGATCGCCAACGCTGAAGTACATACCGCCACCTGAGTCCCCCAGACACACGCTTGTACCTGTGAAAGAGTCGGTTGAAACATTACTCTAGCACTGTATCTGTTACATACCATTGCGATCGCTGGCACAGAACACCGCCCGCGATACAAATCTCCCAAACAGATTCGGATCACTCTGGGCGCACTCGGTGATGTCCACCACGGGCATTTGGGTTGTCTTCAACACCCTGGACAGCGTCCCGTTCTCGGTAACTCCCCAGCCGGCTACCCAGCCGCGTTGTCCAACCAGGTCATCTGATTTTCCTCCCGGAACCGGTTCCAGGCAGATCGGGATCACAAACTCCGAGTAGCGAACGATCGCATCTAAAACCAGCAGCGCCAGATCATCCCGATTGGGACTGTATTCTTCGTGAATGTGAACTTTGGATACATTCACGATCTGCAGCTGATCGGCAAACTCGTATAGATCGTGCTTCCCAAGGTGGACCACAACCTGGTGCGGTTTGAGTGGTTGACCGTTTTGCTGAACTACACAGTGGGCCGAAGTGAGGACGTGCTGCTGATCGATAAGGGTACCTCCACATTTGTACTCTCCTTCCGATGACGACCTGTTCCGGGCAATTTGTTGATAGATCGCAACATGCCATGGCCACTGACCGAGTTCCGCCGTTCGTGCATGGTGGATTAGCTGTGCTCCGAAGCGTTTTCGTATTCCACAACGGTACAGGGCATTGTTTGACTGATGGTTGGCGAAAGTGATTGCCGAAAGCCACAGGATTAGGATCAATGGGAAGTACATTACTGGTGGTAGCTTGTAGTGGAGGTTCGTTGGAAGTTCCAATGGTTTTCTAGAAATGAACTCAAGTTTTCCTTTCTGACGAACCAGTTTTTACTACCATTGATTTGACTTTTGACTAACAATTGTCATCAAACTAACACTTTACTTGCACCCACTTCTGAACGTCAGCTCTCAAACGCTAATTTCAATCAAATGAATGCAACACTGCCAATTAATCTGCATTCATTCGACTCTAGACGACGTCACCGTACATTGCAGTAAAGGATTTTCCTGTTTTTTTTTTACAAGCAAAAACCGGTATTGAGCTGATAACTAACGTGATGCATCGGGAACTACTCGTTGTTTACTGCTACTCTGAGTGAAGTTTGTTATTCCCGTTTGTGAATCGTGATCCATCTGTTTCATCGATGTACCGGCCCTCATTCGCAAACGCTTATCACCTCATCAAACGGCCTATTTTGTGTCATATCGCGCTACGGAAACTCATCTAATGTTATCCTTCTATCATCGGTTTGTGCTGTCAGGTCCGTTTTGCCTGCTTCTGATGACGGGGTGCTAGTGGAGTGAGGTGTGTGGTTCGCCGCCATCATCTTCTGACTTGAAAAGTGGCTTGTGGTGTGGTGGAATGAAGACTGGAGCTCATAAAATTGAATCACTTTCATTGTTTTGGGCAGGCAATCTTCTTTTGAAGTGGTAACTGCTGGTGGTTATCCATTTAGATCAAGCTGATTGTGGCCGTGTGTTGAGCTGGGGAGGAAACAGTTTTTTTTCTCGAAGAAAAAGTACCGACACCGACTCCGACTGTTATGAAAACATAGGGTAGCCAACTGATTTTGGACCCCTAGAGGAAATGAGATCACGTTTATGTCAAAATAATATTATTTGTTTATTATTATTATGCAATTTACATGCGGTTGTGTTCAAAAGCTACTCATCTTGGATGTAAAATGTCACTAGATGTTTTATTAATTGATATATACTCGAAAAATAATTCTTTTCACATCATGATATTCACATATTTTGGACCCTTCCACTTGATTTTGGACAGTGTCCATAATATATTTTGGACACACTGAATGGGAACGAATATATTTTGGACATGCTGTAGTTCTTTAAACCTATGAGCCTAAAATTAATTACGACGGTCACTGGTGGGAAAATTTTCAAAGAAGGTGCCGTAAAACGGGGTGAAATTGATCAGCGGGGTGAATTTGATCGCTGAGTATACCCAATATTGTATTTATGCATAATATTTTTACAATGTATACAAAGATACATTCGTACGCTTAGTAACGAAAAACATGTTACACATAAAAAAATATCACGAGAAATTTCAGCGATCAATTTTGCCCCGCTGATCAATTACACCCCGTTTTACGGTATGCATAAAAGTTAATCCCCCGTTATTCGCGCTGTTGTACTTTGTACAACACATATGAGTTTTCCATTGCCATTTTGTTGCTGCCAATCGATCTGAAACCAACTTGTATTCCTCAAAAAACTTGTTTTGAACTAAAAAAGCTAAACTTTGATTACAATTAACCCCCAAAATGCGGATAATAGAGAAAATGTAAATGGAAACCGCGGAAACGGTGTCCATACTACGTGGGATTGACATATATACTAGCGCCTCGTAGTGTGACATTTCTAAACTACTCCACCAACGAAAAGAGCTTGACTTCCTGAACAACTTTGCTGAAGGCATTTACTTTCTATCTGGTCAGGATCTAGAGATATTTTATACACGAGAATTTCACCACGAAGTGAGATAATTCTGAACTATTGTACACTAAGAAATAGGCTTTGACCTCCTGAACAACTTTGCCGAAGACAGTAACTTTCTATCTGGTCAGGATCTCGAGATATTCCATGTTGTAACCAATTAAGTCAGAACCCTCGTAGTATGGGCACCATTTACGCGGTTTCCATTTACATTTTCTCTATTATCCGCATATTTTGGGGGTTAACTGTAATAAATATTTAGCTTGTTTAGTTAAAAGCAAGTTTTTTGAGGAATACTCGTTGATTTCAGATCGATTGGTAGCTCGGCTGCAAAATGGAAATGGAAAACTCACACTGTTGTACAAAGTACAACGCGTGAGTACTCGTGTTACAAAAGTTGGCGCGAGTAACGGAGGAAATATAATATAACATAAGGAAACAACTGATTATACCATAAAAAAATCATTCAGAAGTAAATCTTAATACGGAGACCTGACTCTATGCTTGCAGTCCATATTATTTTTTGTATGGGCTGTTCATAAACTACGTAGACGGTTTTTGAGAGATTTCAACCCCCCCCCCCCCTTCCGTAGAAGACAGTCTCAAACACAAAATTTAAAAAAAATTGACCGTAGACATCTACCAAGCGCTCCCACCACCCTAAAGCGTCTACGCAGTTTATGAACAGCCCCTTAGTTAAATGCCTTTGGGAGATAGGACAATTTTTGTGGAAAACTAGGAACTATGAAAACTAGGAAAACTCAGAGTGGACCACTCTACGTGTTTTGCCGTTTTTCCCATTTTGAATCGCCTGATAAACAAGAAATATATTTAAAAACAATGAATTCATATAATTTTGATTGATTTATTTACCAATTTAATCAGAAATCTGAGATAATAGCACGATCGACCAACCGGAATTTTTGTTGTCGCTCTTTTGATGATTCTCATTTGATAAGTGTCCAAAATAAGTTAGTATAATTTTTTTACGATCTTTTTTGGACACTTTTTATTTAATACTTTTTAAGTAAAATCTTAAGGTGAAATCTTTATAAACACGTGAAATACATCTTCCAAAGTCAGATAAACTGATTTGATTAAAAAAAATCATTGAATTGTATATTTTAGACCAAATTTAAAACAAGTACACTAACGCCGATTCCTCTTGACAAACGTCGAAACATGAAACTTTTTCGATAACATTTTCTAAAACTGCATAAATTGAGCAATTGTAAGCAATTTGAGGTGAACTAATGATCTTGAGACATAGCAAGTAATTGAAAGAATGTAATTACAACATCAACCCAGATGAATTTGAAGAAACTAGACAGTAAGCGAGGAAAATATATGAAAAGGGTCCAAAATATGTAGGGGTCCAATTCAAGTTGGTTACGCTATTTGGAATCTAAAGCCACCCTAATAACGGAACAAAACAACCTAGGAGCAATTCCCTACGAATTCGCAAATCGGTTTATTTTTGTATTTTTTTATTTGGTTGAAAATTTGCGAAAATGTTCCTTACCGCCATTTTGAATCCAACCTTATTTTTGAAAAGGGCATATAGAAAAATATGAAGCTTATCCTTAGAAAAAATTTACTCGAAAACTGTTTGTCCGATCGGTTTGGTGTCTTCGGCAATATTGCAGGTAATAGAAGGGATGCACTCTTAAAAAATTTACCCAATTTTTTTTATTTCAAATAAAGTCTTAAAAACATTTTTTTCTCAAAAAAGGATTTTTTTTTTGTATTTTTTTTATTTGTTGATATGTTTTAGGGAAACAAAAATGCCATCTATTGCACTATAGGTCAAGATGGAGAAATAATGTACAAAAAAGTTCTGGAAAAATATCCAAAACTTGGTACAATTACTGTTTTGACTTTATATAATGAAAATACACCAAATTTATAATACAAAAGCACTTGAGTAAAATTTTGCTGAGTCACACCGTTTAGTATAGCGGATTGAAAGTAGATATTTTTAAGATGCCACCAAGAGCATTTTCAATGTAAAATTTTCTGATCTTTCGGAAAAAATATTCTCGGAACTGGAGAACCTTGAAATACATTTAAAAATAACCAAAAACTACCAACATTTAGAAAAAAAAAGTTAAACATGCTAAAAATGTACTTTTTTTTTGTTATTGAAGTTTTAATCAGTTTTTTTTTTGATTTAAATTGATTGATGAGCGTTTTAGTAGAATATTTTCAGACCTTACTTACTACTACTTTATTTTTTATTTATTGACGATATTTTTTTCAGTAAGCCGTCAGTTTTGTTACTAGTGTTCCAGTTTTTTACGCTAGGGTCTAAATTAAATTAAATTAGTTTTTCATAAATTATTTGCTTAGATATATTGCAAAATCTTGTGTTGAAATATCTTGTGTAAGAAATGAAAAAAAAAATAAATTTAAGATAGGGTCAATTATTTTTGTATATTTTTCTAAAAGGGAAATCCTTTTTCCTAAAACTTTGTTTCACACCTCGTTTCGATTAGATGACCGTTTTCGTGCTATGATTTGTAAAAAAATATCGAATACGTCATTTTTAAAAACTAGGCAAAAGTCAAAATGGCCGGACAAACTTGGTTCGTTGTGTCTAGTGAACAATTTTGCAAAGTTTTAAGGAATACGGAGAGGGTAAGATAAAATCGATTGTTCCGTTACGAGATGAACTAGCCGACGAGCTAAAAATCTAGCTAATAAAGTAAAAAAAAAAAGATCCGTCAGTTGGCATGGTGGATTTCACTATTTCTTAAAAGTGCAGTTCCGTGCCAAATGACGATTCGATTATACTCGACCTTCTCCGATTTGCATGAAAATTTGAATATTTTTTTGCTATGGACATTCATTCACATTTGTGATAAAATTAGACCATTTTGCATTTTTGACGTAGGACTACGCCTGTGATTTCTATATGGGGGTACACTTTGTGAAAACTGAAAATGTAATATGTAACGAAATTATGAAAGATTTTGAACGTTAATAACTCAGCTGCCCCTGGACGAATTGCAATAATTTTTTTATCAATCGATCAGAAATATTTCTGCGCATGGATAGCTATTAGCGGGATGTGTGGTTATTTGGGTACCTAACAAATCCACCAATTACGTACATGCATATGCTGTTTCCCCAACGCAGTCATCAGAGTTAAATTTCTGAACATGTCCCAACTGAAATACCTACTTTGGTATCGTATATAGTTTTTATATAGTATGTTTTACCTATTTTTCCATTTGTACTTTGTCATTATGGAATCCAAGATGGCGACTTTAAGTTTTCTTAAATGCAAGATGATGATTTCCGGCTATAAACAATCGGTTATCAATATGGGTATCTTTATAACGGGAACGGCGTGTAGAGGCCAATAATCTATATTAGATACTTTTTTATTAATCCAAAATGGTGGCTTCCGGTTTTCTGAAGTCCAAGATGGCGATATGGTTATT